TATATATATATATATATATACATATATGTATGCGTGTATATACAGTATGTATGTGTGTATATATATATATAGTTACGACAATATTTTTACTAAATTATATACTAAATTGTTCATTTTTTTGTATTTAATAATTTTTGCAAATCTGTATGAAAAGACTTGAGAACTGGACTTTTTCCCCCCCTACATTGTCCAGATAATTTATTTGTTAGAAAATGTATTTTTGAAAACTACAAAATGTTTAATCCAATGCAGCTTTAAATTGTGAACAAACCATGAAGAGAAAAGATTTTAAAAACTTTATTATCAAAATAAGTATAAAAATATAAATACTGTATAAAACAATGCGACAGCATTCAAACGACATGAACAGAATGACTGATATTCTACAAGTACACAATTCATTGTACAGCTCTATCTCTATGTTCTGAAATGAATCCACAGTTTGACAGAACCCATATAAACCTTCCACAGGAAAACTGCCTCTTAAACAGAGATATCAAGTAGTTTACATAATGATCATACTTGTAAAACATATTATACACATACTGCACCTATTTTAGACTTGGTCTGCAATAAAAGCTAAGCTTTTTTTTTATTATTTTCATCAGTTTTTTTAAGCCATAAACATCGATAGTGTAGAAAGCTACTATCACTCACCTTGGTTATAAAACACATTGTCCACACCATTGATTACAACAAATCCCTAATCTTAAAAAGGCATCTGTACTGATTCTTTTTTTTTGGGGGGGGGAGAAAGATAGAGCAAGAGAGAGAGCGAGAGACCAGAAGAAGAAGAGGACAAAGTTAAAGTAGACAAAGAGAAAAGAGAACGTCTACGTGAAGAGTTCCCAGTAGTTGAGCGCAACGTTCAAGTCTTCGTAGATTCGTCTATATGCATTACACAGCAGAGAACAGAGGGAGACTTCAGTACGTATGTGTTAATTTAGTGCTCTGAGATATATTTAAGTGTGCTGTGTTGCATATCCGCTTTAAGTCTCTCTCTGGGACTCCTGCCCTATGTACATATCCGCCAGTTTTTTGAACTGTGGACCCCAGTGACTCAGATATTCAAACTCTTGGTCCCCCTCGGTGGCGGCCGATTCCAGAGAGCTGAGGGACTCCGCCAAAGAGCCGTTGCCTTCGTAGGCATAGGTAGCCAAGGAGTCATAAGGGGGCGCTGTGGGATCTGAGTCGTTTTCCTGCAGCCGTCCGTTGATAAAGTCCCTCACGTCTGTGTTGTCTTTGATGGGGGACGTGCGGCGGAAGGGGAACAGCATTTCGGGCATTATATCCCGGCGGAGTTTATTGGTGTCGATGACCTCGGGGTTCCGCAGGGTTCCGATGTCGAAGGCCTGCGTGTCCTCCTCTCCACCGCCCTCGTCGTTGTAGCTGACCACGTTGTCCCTGACATCTTCTTTTGAGATGATCAGGGGCTCCTTTTTCTTTTGACGCCGCAGGGCCGCAAACAATACCACAATCACTATGGAGACAGAGACAGACGAATAAAATGATATCATCAGCATGGTGCAAATCAAGCTGAACAAAGCTCTGTGATAGTCACGCATTCTGAATGTCACTGAGACACCTGACACTCTGGTAACTACTGAGCCGAAGCAGTGCTTCCTACAGGCTTTTGCAGGATAATATGTCTTGAATACGTTTGAATTTGTTAAAAGTGGTATGGTATTACCATAAAATAACATACTAAAAAAATGCTGTGATATATTTTGAAATTACAGATCACTTCACTAATAGCTAAATGATCACAAGTTTTTCAGGGACATTCTCATTTTAGAGAGTTTTTTTGTTTGGAAAAAAATCTTGACTACGCTGAAAATAAAATTGGTTTTGAAACAGTTTAATTACAAGTAATTACTATGAAACGGCGAGTGAAACACTGAATTAAATGTGAAATTTTGAAGTAGATAGACTGAACCTTGAAAGTGTCTTCTTTGCTTCTGTTTTATTTACAACATCTTTTTTGGTTACACTTTATTTTATGGTGTCCTTGTTACAGTGTAATTATACATTTAAGTACTGAGTAATATTATGAACTACATGCACTTACTATATGGTTAGGATTAGGGTTTGTCTTAGGGTTACTTGCATGTAATTATGTATAACTGAGTGTTATTATATTAGTAAGTACATGCAATGTGTAACAAGGACTCCTTAAAATAAAGTTTAAAATATTATTATTTTTTCTCGCAGTGCAGGATGAGTAATCAATATTGTTGCTCCAAAATATAATTCTTACAAATGATAACTTTGCAATTGTGTCTTTTAGGAGTGCGGTAGCATACAAATGGCTTCAAAGCTGCCACACATGGACTAAAAGCCCCAAAACTGGAATCGACTTGTCAGAAAGACATCAGAAACTGATCAGATTTGCTTAGACCAGATTTTGTAAGTATTTTTTTTATAACTTTTTTTTTTTTTTTTTAAAGGCTCATAAGATAATTCAGACTAAACTGTGTTTGTGAGTTGGTTCATTCAGATGATTCACATAAATAAACTGATAAAAAAACAAAAAAAACAAATCATTGATATGTATGTGGTATTTTAGGTCCTAGGTTTACAGCAATATATTGATTCAGATGCCTTCATTAAAGGGGTCATATGATGCTTTTTTTAAAGATCATTATTTTGTGTATTTGGTGTAACAGAATATGTTGACATGCTTTAATGTTCAAAAAACACATTATTTTTCAAATACTGTACATTATTGTAGGTCCTATATGCCCCGCCTCTCTCAAACGCTTCGTTTTCTACAAAGTCCCTCCTTCCGACAAGTGCAGTCTGCTCTGATTGGCCAGCTGACCCAGTGCATTGTGATTGGCCGAACACCGCAAGCACCCGTCGGAAATGTAACGCTCATTACCATAATCGCGAGCGTCATCTTTCAAAATAAATGTAAAGACAGAGCCCGAAAGGGGAACAGAGTCACGTGACAGACACAGGAGACTTTAGTCTTTGCAACTTCAGGGATCTTATCTATGCACAATCAGCTTGTAACACTCCAAAGAGAAAGGAAAACTTGAAATTGCATCATATGACCCCTTTAAGTTTTTGAGATATAATTTGATCTATGCAATCATATTTCATTATGATATGGAATTCTATATTTGCATCATATAGTTTTGTTATATAATAGCTATAATTTATAGTGACTAAAGTTACTTGTAGTTAGTTGCTTGTACACAGTTATTAAATAAGATATTTGAAGAATGTTGGTAACCAAACTGTTGACGATAGCCATTGACTTCCACTGCATTTTTTTTTCCGTATTGGATGCCGTCAACTGTTTGGTCACCACATTCTTCAAAATATCATATTTTGTAATCAACAGAAGCAAGAAACTAGTACAGGTTTGGAACAAATGGAGAGTAAGTAAATAATGTAAAAATAAAATAAAAATTTTGGGTGAACTATCCCTTTAATTCAGTGTATTACCTGCCATTTCACTGTAATCATATGTGAAATTTACTAGCAATTTCTGATTGAAAATTGTTTCTATGCTATTTTTTCAGAGTAGTGTAGCTTGTTGAAATAGCTTTTAGCTTAGCTAGCTACAGTTTCAAAGTAGTTTCCCCATCATTCAATTGAGACTGCATGTTCACAACTCACAAAACACATCATTGCTTTTGCTTAACTGTTGTAAAAAGATACAGAGTACAATTGCTACGGCAACAAGCAAGATACACACCAAAGAGTGAGACTTATGATTAGGTTTAGTTAATTCAATCAGGGACAGACCAGACAATCGATGGCTAGGACAATCAAATTGTCACAGTCACCGAAAACAGAAGCACTGAGTCAGCTAAAAAAAAAAAAGCAGTTTTGCGGCTGCTCAAAGAATCGGATAGAGAAAGCGTGCATAATCTCAATCACTGCGGCGAGAAGAAAGGACTGCCGGAGAATCACAGGCTGTTCTTGGATGGCTAAAGCAGAGCACTCAGATAAGAACCCAGTGAGCAGCACGCAGCACTACAGAGAGCTTAGCTGAGATACAGAGGAGTGTGTTTCAAAAGGTGTCATGCGCTTAAGGTACTCATGAATACAGAAGAGAGAACACACACTGTAATGCAGATAAAGACTTATACTGCTTGGAGCAGTCACCTTGCAGTTTTAAAATTGTGTAAGAAATAAAAAAGGGTTTGCGTTCTTCTCTTGTGAATTACAAATTTGCAAGGTTCCAAAGAGCACAGATGTAAGGCACCGCAGTAAGGCTTGACACATCTCTTTTTTTGAGTAAGAGCGTAGAGATAATGATAATATTAAATAAAAAACGTTACGCAAAGTACTGTTAAAATGCATAGGACGTAAAAAATGAAAAAAGATAAATGTCTCAAGCCTTACTACGCTGTTTTATGTCTATTATTATTCTACACTCTTAAAAATAAAGGTGCTTCACGATGCCATAGAATAACTTTTTTGTCTAAATGATTCCATAAAGAACCTTTAACATCTGAAGAACCTTTCTGTTTCACAAAAGGTTCTTTGTGGCGAAGAAGGTTCTTGAGATTATAAAAAGGTAAGAAAGAAATGGTTCTTTAAAGAACCTTTGACTGAATGGTTCGTTGTGGAACCAAAATTGGTTATTTTATGGCATCGCTGTGAAGAACCTTTTAAGCACCTTTATTTTTAAGAGTGTATTGTATTTTTAATCTATTAATATTAATTGATTGAGTTATGATTTGGTAAGGGAAATTATGATTAAAAATGATTATGATGATTATTATTATTAACATGATTGATTGATTAATTTGCGATGAATTAGATTAAAAAATGTAATCACTTGACAGCCCCAGTTATAATTCATGAAGTTATAAATTAATAATTATGAATTATGTTTTGCAAAATGAGTGGAATCATTCAATCTGAATTTATTAAAGTCTATTACTATAATGACATCCCTACAATTTAAATTATATGTCTGTATATAATTTATAGAATGCAGTAGTCATAGAATTATAAATTGCAGAACATTGAAAAATGACAGAAAAAAAATAATTGCACAATTTTCATCAACTAACCTGTCAAAACAGTTAATTTGCTTAGACTATTTGATTTAGTTTTTTGTTTAATTGCACTTTATTTTTAAAAGAAACAAAATATGATATTTTATTAATTTTGCAAAAAATATCAGATGGCGCTGTTTAAGATGCAGGCCTTTGCACTGAAATGCATCATGTCAAGTGCTGCCACTGTTTGGTGAATTCACCACATAATGTTAATACAGTGTGTTGAGCTTGAAGATATGAGAAGAGGGAATTATGGTCCTAAAAAGGGAACAGGTGCTGTAGTTTGCAGCTTGTTTTTCTTGTTCAGTGGCTGCTCACTCCTCCCAGCAGGTAATCGGAGAGTTCGCCCCTGCCTCCCACTCAGGTGTTAATTATGAAGAAGGAACGGTGGGGGGCAACATGCAGTGTTCTGACCAGCCTGGGGGCCTGTGGTGTGTGCAGGGCTCATTCTGTGATCTGGAAAAGAAATGGTGGTGGAAGAGTGTGGGCTGGATGTGGATATTTCTCGCTCTGGCAGCGTAAAGCAGCTACTTCCTCTATTAGTGCATATTCTGGGCTTTGCATTAGCCAGCTCATCAGAAAAGGGTGCAACAGGAAAGGATGTAAAATGAGGGGCAAATGGAGAGCAGCAGCCTGAGGAAAGAATAAAAAAGCAGAAAGATGCAATAGTTTGTTCTGGAAAGACTCTGCCCTCTGTAAGCTGTCCACTCAGCGCCAGTAGACGGGTTTAGGGGAAGATACTGAAAATGGAGAAGGATAAAGGGGAAAATATCCATATTAAGTTTGCCCAGAGAGGATCGGTGGTGGACTAGATGGTGCCTGCGCAGGGGAACAGCAGAATATGAGATGGCAGAAGTGGTTGAACACACGGCGCACAATTGTCTGTGTTGTGTAATGGGTAGAAACGTATACATATGGACATATCATTTTGGGGTGGAATTTAAAGGGGCCATGCACTTACAGAATTTAACTTTTTCTTGATGTCTGCTTATAATGTAAGCGGTGTGTGTGTGTGTGTGTGTGTGTAGCTCATATTCCCAAACTTTTGAATGGTAGTGTATCACGGTTTCTGAAAAATATTATTTATATTAATATGTATTTATCAAATCATGATATTGCATCTTTTTATCAAATAAATTAAGTGACTGTAAACCTGGCATCTTACAAAAAACATTAAAAAAAAATCATAATTATCCTAAATTTTTAACCACACTAATTTGAGAACAGTGCTTTGTTTACTTTATGACTTGTTCTATATTCATGAGTACATAAAGTTCAATCATATGTGTTGATATTTAAACATGATAAAGTTTAAAATGATTCATCTTTTTAGTACTGTGAGTTGTGTCGTGTAAAAGAAGCAGTAAAGTTAACTACTTTTCCAAAATTGTAGCTACTTATGGGTTTTGAGAAGCTTGTAGCTTGACATTTTAAAACAGCTTCCCCAGCAACACCAACTTTGATACAGTACATAGCAAAAAGAAAAACACGACTTGTGGGTCTCAGGATACTGTTGGTGAATTTAAATGAGTTCAAGAACTGAAGCGCCATGACTTAAAAGTAATCAATTATGAAGCATTTTTGATGTCTTCATAATGTTTGACAGTTTTTAACATTTCTTGCTGCTTTGCTTTGTACTTTAAGATATCATCAGTAAAGAAGATAACTGGGTGAAAAGTTAGGCTAGACATTGAATATGTAATGCATTCGAGAGGACAGCTGCAAACAGGTTCTATTCTGAATTTGTTAGAACTTTAAACGCGAAGTTAAATTGCTTGACTGGTGCACAATACAGCTGATGCATGAAGAAGCATTGATGCTGGAGTAAAAGTCTTTACTTGAAACATAGCTATTTTATTTCAAAATAGACGGTACAGTATGTCTTTAATATGTATAAACAAATGGAGACCACTTCAACCAGCATAAATAATAGATAGAAAATTCAACCTGAAGTTCCTGAAAATATTTCGTTTTACCGATTCGTACAGAGGCAGATAATAGAAAATGCAGAATGATGACAGATTGCCTCAGGTTAGATTGGAGACTTGAGAGATGCACTCACCAGCAGTTTGAACAATTACTTATTGATGGATGTTTTAACTTACGCACAACATATTTTTCCTTTTCTCTGCAGAAACAACACAGACACATGCTGTTCAGAACCAGCTGCGCTTTCATACTGCATTACCTTGCACAAGTGGCATTTTAGGACGTCAAGAAGGAGCATGCGACCTACTTAAGCCCCGGAAGAACACAAAGGCCTTTTTGTCAATTGCATACATTTAATAATGAAAGCTATTTTTCCACACTGCTGCACTTTCTGAGAAAAGCGAAGAACGAGAGAGAGAGAGCACCTACAGTAATGTCTTAATGGGGTGCCCTACTTTTTGATTGTCTGGAGGAAATATTTGGAGAAAATTCTAAGCAAAAATTAATAAATAACAGAAAATAAACATTGCAAGAAGGATGCCTCACGGCCCACACTGTGCTGCATCATCAGAATAGCAGGACAAGAGGTCAGGATGCATTACACTCTGCTCGCCAGACACATCGCTGAGATGTTACAAGCGCTTATTTTTAGTCCATGTCCTCTGGACAAATCTGTTATATCTTTGGTGTCATTTTGAGATCGTGACTAAATATAAGAAAATGTATTGTATTAAGAAGGCTGCATCAGTCCAGAAAATATATTATCTATCTATCTATCTATCTATCTATCTATCTATCTATCTATCTATCTATCTATCTATCTATCTATCTATCTATCTATCTATCTATCGTCCTATCTATCTATATGGTTGGTATCTATCTATCTGTCTATCTATCTATCTATATGGTTGGTCTCTATCTATCAATCTATATGGTTGGTATCTATCTATCTATCTATCTATCTATCTATCTATCTATCTATCTATCTATCTATCTATATGGTTGGGCTGTTGGTGAATTTTAATGAGTTTAAGAACTGAGGCACCATGACTTAAAAGTGATAAATTATGAAGCATTTTTGATGTCTTCATAAACTTTGACAGTTTTTAAACATCTCTTGCTGCTTTGCTTTGTACTTTAAAGACAGAATCTATAAAGAAAGTCATTGGCTGTAAAGTTAGACCAGACATTGCATATGTAATGCATTCGAGAGGTCAGCGGCAAACAGGTTCAAAGTTGAATTTGTTAGAACTTTGAGAGCCATGTCAAAACACTTGTCATTATAAGTTTACTTGCAGCATTGCTATTTTATTTCAGAATAGATGGTATGTCTTTAATATGTATAAACAAATGCCGGTTTCGGCCAGCATAAATAATAGATATCTAAGTCAACCTGAAGTTCCTGAATATATTCAGTTTAACCGAATCATACAGAAGCAGATAATAGAAAATGCAGAACGATGACGGATTGCCTCGGGTTAGATTGGAGACTTGAGAGATGCACTCACCAGCAGTTTGAACAATTACTTATTGATGGATGTTTTAACTTACGCACAACATATTTTTCCTTTTCTCTGCAGAAACAACACAGACACATGCTGTTCAGAACCAGCTGCGCTTTCATACTGCATTACCTTGCACAAGTGGCATTTTAGGACGTCAAGAAGGAGCATGCGACCTACTTAAGCCCCGGAAGAACACAAAGGCCTTTTTGTCAATTGCATACATTTAATAATGAAAGCTATTTTTCCACACTGCTGCACTTTCTGAGAAAAGCGAAGAACGAGAGAGAGAGAGCACCTACAGTAATGTCTTAATGGGGTGCCCTACTTTTTGATTGTCTGGAGGAAATATTTGGAGAAAATTCTAAGCAAAAATTAATAAATAACAAAATAAACATTGCAAGAAGGATGCCTCACGGCCCACACTGTGCTGCATCATCAGAATAGCAGGACAAGAGGTCAGGATGCATTACACTCTGCTCGCCAGACACATCGCTGAGATGTTACAAGCGCTTATTTTTAGTCCATGTCCTCTGGACAAATCTGTTATATCTTTGGTGTCATTTTGAGATTGTGACTAAATATAAGAAAATGTATTGTATTAAGAAGGCTGCATCAGTCCAGAAAAGATATTATCAATCTATCAGTCTATCTATCTATCTATCTATCTATCTATCTATCTATCTATCTATCTATCTATCTATCTATCTATCTATCTATCTATCTATTGTCTGTTTGTTATCTGTCTGTATTGTACGGAGACCGAGAAGTGCAGAACAAATCACAATTCTGAAAACAAAAGAACAAATTACAAACGCAAATGCAAGTCTAAAAAACGCGCACCTGGAGCTGATGTTCAACAGCCACTTTTAACTAAATGTAAATATACACTCCGTATGTTTTATTCCAGAGTAAGGGCAATTCATACAATACATTTAAACTGAGCTACTTTAATACCATCTCCGAACTTTCTACCAGGACTCTGCTGTTCTTCGGCTGGTTCTTCCTGTATACGTTGATTGACAGATGTCTCGTCCAGTCAGCGGTGAGTAATCCCAAACCAATGGCACGGTCTCAAACTATACCTACCTCTTCCGGTTTGTCTGAATTTTCGTTGTGTTTTCTGACTTATTATTTTGTTTTTGGACTTATTATAATGTTTTCTGAATTGTTGTTATGCTTTCTGATTTGTTATTTTGTTTTTTAGACTTGCATTTGCGTTTGTAATTTGTTATTTTGTTTTCAGAATTGTGATTTGTTCTGCACTTCTCGGCCACCGTAGTATTGTCTTGTCTGTCTGTCTGTCTCGTTTTCTATCTGTTTGTGTTATCTGTCTGTCTCTTTATCTGTCTATGTCTTTGTCTTTCTGTCTGTCTGTTTGTTTGTATTGTCTGTCTTTCTATACGTCTGTCTGTCTGTCTGTCTGTCTGTATCTTTGTCTGTCCGTTTGTTTGTAGTTTATGTCTGTCTCGTCTGACTGTTTGTATTTTCTGTCTGTATTGTCTGTCTGTCTGTCTGTCTATCTATCTATCTACCTACAAATTAATTTGAACTCTAACAAATGATATACCGTATTGTGAAGTTTTAAATGATCTACTGACAAGCACATCAACATTAATAAAACATTTTAATACACCTTTTTTGGAAGATGTAAGACTTTTAAACAGAGACTGTGATAAACTGGCCAGGTTTGCGGCTCCATGAGAACGTGTATAACATAATGTGTGGCCACTTCTGAAGTCCACAGCCAATCAAAACACTGTGCCAAAGTACAGCCTCCTCCTCATCAGAAGGTGATTAATGTATCTTCTGAGTAAACACACCCTGTTCTGAGCCTGCAACCAAGAGATGTGCGACTCAATCACAAAAGCATCCCGCTTCTGACCTGAAGAGGTATGACACAACAAGAGAAACAGCTAGAAACCCAACAACCTTTCTCCTGTCTCTGTTTGAGCCTTGTTGATTTTACTGCAGAGCCACAGTGTTTGTACTTTTTGGTGAGTTCAGTCTGTAATGTGGTTACATCAGTGCATATAGATTATATATGAAATGCTTCTAAGAAAGTGCACTACATATGGTTAGAGGATTCCTATCACGCATTAGAGTACATAAAAATGATGCAAGTAAAGAGGGCTGCTATGTTCAGGGTGGCCTAAATCAGATCCGGATTAACCATATGGACAATTGGGCATCTGCCCAGGGGCATCATGTTCAGAGTGGCACCATGCAGGGCCATATAAATGTTTTTAAATAGCTAAACATGACCCAATGCTGTATATTTACAGGAGTTCAACACTTACTCAGTAATATTAAAATGCAGAGTAAGATGGCCACCAGGGCTCCGGTGCTGAGTCCAGCTGAGAGCAGCAGGGCTTCGTTACTGCATGTCTGCACATTCCCACGGCTGTCGCAGGCACAGACACGGACCGTCAGCGTACTGGTGCTGCTCTGGATGGGGTAATCGTTGTCTGAGATGACGACAGGCAGCAGGTATGAGCTCATCTCTCTTCTGTTGAAGCTGCCCCGGCGGGTCAGGATCCGCGCTGTGTTGTCTACAAGACAATAATGTCAAGATCAAAAGCGATACTGAGACTAGTGTGTAATAGACGGTGTTGTTTTCAAAGCTTAAGTATTGAGCTGTGTTTTAGCTAGCAATGTAATTGTTGCGTCTTTGGCATCGTGAATAATATGTTTTGAATTAATTAAGACACAGTAACTGTTTGTAGTTTGCTTGCATGACAGATGTGCATCTGTAGTGTACTATGACTTATGCTGATACTGTTTTCAAGTACAAACATACTAACTATGAAGAGCTGTAGCCGATTGCAAGGTTAAGTGTGTATGTGTGCCTCTAGTGGCACCAAATGGAATTTGGAATAGTTTTCAAACAGGTTCCTCAAATAATTCACCCCATCTGCTTTGACATGTTTGAAGAAAAGTAATATGTATGTATTTTTTTTTCTTTTTAATTGTAACTTCTGTCTCACAAATGTGACTTTATTTATCCTAACTGTGGCTTTGTGGTTTGCATATGCAACTTTGTATCGAACCATTTATTTAAAATGTTATATGCAAATAATTGCAACTTTTTACCCCAGTTGTGAGACTAAATTTATGTTCAAAATTTTGAGGTCAGTATGATTTTTATTTTTTTTTGAAAGTGCAGTGAAAACACATTTCAAAATAATGTGAAACATTATAACAGTATAAAATATATGCTTCTATTTGAATATATTTTTTAAAAAAGAAAGTAATTAATTCCCAAGATGCAAAGCTGCATTTTTAGCATCAATTACTCCAGTCTTCAGTCACATGATTCTTCAGAAATATCATTCTAATATGAGAAACCTTTTTTAACATTATAAATGTCTTTGCTGTCACTTTTGATCAAATGAATGTGTCCTTGCTGAATAAACGTATGCATTTCTTTAAAACAAAATCTTACTGAATGGTAGTGTATTTTTGTTTAAACTTTAATTTATATTTGGAATCGCAACCTTTTGTCTCAGCATTTATATTTGACATTGTATTTCTTATTTTAAACTTATCTCACTATTTTCAATCTGATGCAGAAATGGTTTTCCATTGAATTACCTTCATTGTCGAAGATGGTGAAGTTTGGATTGATGGTGCTTAGACTGAAAACAAACTTGTGCCCGACAAGAGGTTCATCAGTGTCCACAGCACTTATGGTCTGGATGAGCTGGAAACATAATAAGCAAAGATGATTAGCTGTTTTCATTTCATTCTAATTCAACATAGAACTGCGCAATATAACACAACCATCCTAGTCATAAATGTAGCTCTAAAGCTCCACAGAACAGCAGAAAAACAAAGCAAGCAGAAGCGTTTAATAAACTATTTGTGTGAAACAATGAATAAACATGAAACTGCGGCATACCTGACCAGCTTTGACATTCTCACAGACAAAGGTCTCGTAGTACATGGCGAATTCAGGCGCATTGTCATTCACGTCGCGCACTTTGATAAACACCGGCACTCTGGTTTGCAGGGCAGTACCTAGACGCCAATGATAAATGCGTTTTAGCAATTGAGGAAGATATTCAGTTTGCATTCAAGAGGTCTAATTTTGTTTCTCTCTATTTGTCTTTCAGCCTTTTACCCCAGGCATATATTATTCTACCGAGAATGCAGAAAGCATAAATTAAACCACAACTCAAGGTGACAGTTTGATTTTTGTCATCAGTCATTTATTGTATTGCTGTGGTTTAAGCCGTTTCAGAAAATGTCTTGAGGCTCTAGAAGTTTTAGTCCACCTTATAGCACATTATTTTAACAGGTTTGAACAAACAAAAAACCTGAAAATGAATTTCCTAGCATATCTAGTTCATGAGTTGAAATTGAAATATTGAATTAAAAGGCAAGAGCTTTCCGGATTGTTATAAGTAAACCTTGCGGTACTATCCCATATCAGCAATGGCTCACAATGCAAACTTACTGAGTTCGGTTGCCAGAACAGAGATGTTGTGCCATTTGGAAGTTTCTCTGTCCAGACCCTGCAGTGTGCTGATGGTCCCATTGTTGGAATCGATGCTAAACAGTCTCTCCAGGTCTGTGTGGCGATCAATGGTGTATCTGAAAACAAGAATGACGGTAATGAATACCAGACAGTGGAGCTCTGATTATGCTCAGGCACAGGGACTGAACATCCTCAGTGTTTTAAAGTGTTGTAAACACGGCCCCAGGAAGTGAAAAAGGGTACATCACACACCCATAATCAAGGGCCCAGAACAGTGCCTGTGCAGTCCACCAAATAAATCAGCCCAGACTGATTTAATTTTCCTTCAAACAGTTAGATGTATTTGATTTGACATCTCTATTAGAGAACAAATTTGCCCTCGTCAAATGCATTGATGTTAGTTACACGCTGAGGACAACAAACTATACATTGTACCTCTTCCTTTTAAGACCGTGGCTACAAACTACCCTGCTGAAAAGACCAGATATTGAATTCTCATGCTGGTCCGGACTGGTTTACAGCATATATATATATATATACAGTGGGGCAAAAAAGTATTTAGTCAGCCACCAATTGTGCAAGTTCTCCGTATTCCCCCTCTTGGACGTTTTTATGTTCTGCTGATTCTCTAATTTGCTATTTTGACAGAGTTTAACAGAAAAATCTTATTTTGTGTCATTGTGGAACTATTTCTACTAATTGGTTAAAGTTATTAAGCATAAACTCATTATTTGATGTAGAACTTACCAATTCATGAATTGAGTCAGTTTACTGAAATGCAATTAAAACAAATTGAATAATTTGAAAATTACTCTTAAAAAATTGTTAATTTTTTAAAAATGTTTAATTCATTGTGTTACTTGTGGTTTCTTTGTAATTATTTGTGAAATTGAACATTTCTGAGGGAAAATTGTTTCAAATTAAATCCTGTAATGCCATTTCCTTTTTCTGGATAAAAATTATATTTATTTTTATAACTGCTGAATTCAAATTCAAGAATTGTTTTTTTAAATCCAAGTCAAATCTGAATGACTTGCATCCCCGTGAGTATTCATGCTTTTCAAGTCAATATTTGAGCAAACAACCTTCAGCTGTGCACATCATTGTAGTTCTTCCCCATTCTTCTTTTCAAAACTGCTTCACCTCTGACAGGTTGTATGGACGTTATGATTCCACCCATAAATACTTGTTTGGAGATCTGAACTCGGGCCACTCCAGGGGCCTCATTTATAAAATGTGCGTATGCACAGATTTGATCTTAGTGTGCATATGCTAAAATCCACGGCAACGTTCATATTTATAAAAACGTTCTTTGACGTGGAAAAGTACTTACCACCACATCAGGGTCTGAGCAGACGTACGCACTTTTCCTTGTGGCAATGTCGGAGTACTGCAGCTATTTGGACATCTAAGCTACAATAATAATAAAAGCAGTGTAGGAGATGCAGTGTAAGAGATTAATTGTGAAGTGTAGTAAGATTTTTTATTAACGGGAGTTTTTGCGAGATTAAACTGACCTTTTTAGTAGCCTAATGTTGAGAGTTCTTTACTCGCTTTCTGTGCCGTTTATTCCATGTTGTTGTTTTTTTATTATTATTTTATTTTACAAGAGAACTTGCGAAGTCTTGATTTACATATAACGCGTAAAAAAAAAATAAAAAATGCATAAACGCATCTCCGACTGTTTTGTCTGTGTCGCCGAATAGGCCTCGTGCAATAATGGTTTTAATATATTCTATTCAATAACATTGTTAACTGTTTATATTTATAACATCTGCTGCTTTGCGTTTGTGAAAATGAATAGAGACATCAGTCTTAAACTTTGTTTTTGTCATTTACATCAGTTATATTTGTATAAAATACACTATATATTTTTGTGTCAGTACATTAATGGCACATTTGAGCAGCATTAGTAAACTGTGTAAATATGAAGAAATGCCAAATCACATGCAGGTTTTTTCAGACCGGAGACCATAATCGTGTAATAATTTATTTTATGATATGAAACGTCCAATTTTTCTTTCAATAATGTTTTTTAAAGTTTTGCAAGAATTTCGTGCTACTAAACTTTTTATTAGTTGTCATAGCAAGTTTTATTTGAATTCATAGTGTTTTCTTTTGGAAACCTAATTGTTTTATAATTATTATTTCTGTTGTTTCTAGAAGTAGATATTTTGATAATAGTCAATAGAAAAAATATAACCACACACACACATTGTTTGTCCACAGAATAATTACACATTATTAAATAAAAAGCATCCCCACACAAACCTCTACCTCCGCCAGCAGGACCTCAATTTCAGACTCAGTAAAGTTTTTATTTTATTTAATTTTTTCTCTATGTGCTCGTCGGAATTCGGATATTGGCATGTGCTCTTTTATATGGTAATGATATTAATTAGGGGGCGTTTATAAGGCGGACATCTGACACCAGTCAACTCCGCACAATTTTAAGTTAATTTGCGATTTATAAATGTCACATCTGGAAGAAAGGCGTACGCACGTGTTTTTGTGCACACGTTCGTTTTCTCTGAATCGCACATACGCACTTTTGAGAAACGATCTTAGAACAAATTTAGGATGGTTTATACGCAACATTTTATAAATGAGGCCCCAGGACACTAGTTGTGTTTTTTTAGCCATATTTGACTTCATGCTTCTGGTCATTGTCTTGCTGGAAAACAAATCTGCTCCTGCAGGTGTCTTGCAGACCCCATCAGGTTTTCCTCCAGGGCTTCTGTGTATTTTGCAGCATTCATTTTACCCTCCCAAGCCTTCCAGGGCCTGCTGCAGAAAAGCATATATGCCCCTCAGCGTGATGCTGCCACCACCATGATTCACAGTGGGGATGATCTGTTTCTGCTGATGCTCAGTGTTTAGCTTATGCCAGACGTGGCGTTTATTTTAATGGCCAGAAAGCTCCATTTTAGTCACATCAGATCATAGAACCTTCTTCCAGCAGGCTTCAAAGTCTCCCACATGCCTTCTGTAGCCGAGATGTCATATGACAGTTTTTTAGCAGTTGCTTTCTCTTTTCCGCTCTGACTGGTGAAGGACACGGGTAACAGATGTCGAATGTCTTTCCAATCTCAGGTACTGATGCTTGTAATCTTTTTTGAGTTTCCTTCTTGCACAATGTCGCACTGTTTAAGGACATCCTCCTCTAGGTAGATTTACAGCTATGCCAGGGTCTTTCAGTTTCTTAATTATTGATTTTAACTGTACTCCAGGGGACATTCAATGACTTGAAAATATCTGTGTAATCATCCCCTGCCTTGTGCATTTCAATTACTTTCTGCTGTGAGTGTTTTTCTGGTGTAAGTTCTGCCACAATGACTCACCAGAAGTTGGACCTTCCAGATGGAAGCGTATTCAGACCACAATCAATTAAAAACCCTTGACAACACACAAATGATTTTTATAGAACTATTTATGTAATATTGTAATGCATTATGTAATGTAATGTTGGGTTTTATATTTTATATTCTGAACTATTTTAGATAACTTTATTTATTTAGCCATTTAAAAATGTATTAATTTATTTACTATTAATTCGACTGTGATTTTTCTGATTTTTCACTGTCACTCCAAACACCATTAGTTATGTCAGTAAATATTTGTGTCATTATTATTTAAGTATATCTGTAAATATATATAATTTGACCCTCTAACACTTGCACTCTATATTCTATTTCTATCCTCACTACTTGTTTTATTTTTTATTTATTATAAAAAATTACCCTCTAACACTAGCTTCATAGCATACTGCGTTAGGGTAACTGAGACTTGTCACAGCACTTGCATATTATTGCTCTTTTGTCGATTTTGATATTGCTTCTATTATCCTCATTTGTAAGTCGCTTTGGATAAAAGCATCTGCTAAATGACTAAATGTTAATGATAAAACCTCATTGATTGATTGATTGTATGCTGTCAGATCTTAGTTTATGTAGTGATGGTTGTTGACCTAGGAAATCTTGTTGCAAGACCTCTATTATTCAAAACTTTTTTTTTCCAGCAGAATAGTGGTACCTTAGTGCTAGTAAATGCTAATTTTTAAGTAATCAATTATGTGTTATGCATCGAATAGCCAGCTGTGACGAACACCTTCCTAGCCGAAGCAACTAGCAACTATCAATTATCCTTAACCGCATATTGCGTGTTGGGAATTTTGAAGTGGCTCGTTTGAAAGAGCCTGAATGCTAATCACTCTGTTGATCCCCTGCCTTTTGTTTTCATGAAATAAGAAAAGGAAATATTTCCTATTAAACCCATTTATCAATGTCAGCTTACATATTCTGCTGACATTTAAATATGCACCTGAGTGTGACGTGCATGAGTAAGCCAGAAGGACATGCTTTTCAGACAATCGCTCACAGTGCACACGCGGACAGGTGATGAGAGACAAGACACACTCTTTCACACCAACTTTGTGACTTATAAAAGTCTGAATTCAGAAAGGAAAGGAGGGGGGAGATAAAAAAGCTCCTGTATTCATCTTGCCAAACTTCCGGAGGGAAATCACCAACTGAGGCCCTATGAATAATTTGCTTTTCCCCCGTCTTCACACACATACACATGCACACGCTTGGGAACATGTTGATGGATTGGATTTAACCGAGCACGAAACATCTGATCAAAAACCAAAATATGGAAGGCAAAGATGTGTTTTGCTTGATTTTCATACACTGTAATGAACTTCATGTTCTGATGCTTTGGGAGACACTTTTCAAGGTGTCATTTTGCCGTTTTCCCCCGCTGTACCTTTTATTTGTGTCTAAGGTGAAAGCAACCACTTGTTTGTTCACTGAATATTCAAAAGCATTTAATTACCGAATCCCTCTGTTCAAATCTCTACTGGACCATTAAATTGCCTGTTACAATGGCTATGATTATCTGTTGACAGAAGCCACCTTATTAGCTAAATAAGCCTTTGGATGATAATAAAACTAATATAATGAGTGCAACAGAAAGCAACGCAAAGCTAGTATGAGCATCAAAACATTAAAGGGGTCATATCAAGCAGAATCAAGTTTCCCTTTCCTTCATTATGCTAAAAAGATACTTTCAGACACTCAAAATGTCCTTGCTAATTATTA